GTTTTTTGGGGTGTTTCCTAGCGCGGTCTCGTGTGCGGGCAGGTGCGAGAGGCAGATGCGAGAGGTGAGGCGCGAGCCGGCGGTCGGCCGGATCCGGACGGCGCCGCGGCGGTCGAGCTCAAAGGTTTGGGGTGCACCACTTGTGCCGCTAGCGCTTGTGATCGACTCGTCCCGAAGTGGATTGCTCGAGCTTGCATCGCGACGCGACCATCTAAATATGATGAAACTCATTATTGCGCTTGCCATCGGTGCCAACGCCTTGTCGTTGCAAAAGGTCTCGCAGCAGGCAGTGAGCCGCCGCGCGCTCGGTGGCTTCGGCGCGGCGGGCCTCGCCACTTTCATCGGCGAGGCCCCGGCGCTGGCCGCGGAGAAGGCGGCCAAGGCGCCGAAGGCGGCCAAGCCCAAGCCGCTCAAGGACGTCGCGCTCGTCAAGGAGCTCTTCGACAGCAAGATTCCCGCGGCGGGCGTCATGGCGTGGTACGACGCGCACCTCTCTCCGGACGTGAGCATCGAGTTCAACGGCGGCGCGGTCAAGCTCGGCAAGAAGGAGTACCTCGGCCTGACGCAGGCCATCCTCGACAGCGTGCCGAACCTGTCCTACACGGCGCCCAAGGCCGACTTCAAGAAGGGCAAGGGCAACACCGTCACCTGGACGGCCGTCGTCACGGGCACGCACACGGGCAAGCCCTTCTCGCCGCTGCCCAAGGCGCTCCAGAACGACGCCGAGGCCATCACGGCCTACTTCGACAAGTCCGGCGAGGTCATCACGAAGTTCACCGTCGCCGCGATCCCCGGCGGCAAGGGCTTCTCGGGCCCCGTGGGCTTCTACCTCCAGATGGGCGGCGACCCGAAGAAGCTCCCCAAGCTCTAGGATGGCGGATGATAAGCTACTTGCCCTTCGCCATGGGCTCGAAGTCGATGTCGAGGCGCGCGAGGACGGCGCCGCCGGGGTCGTTGAAGGTCAGGGTGGACTCGAGGCCGCCGTCGGGCCGCTTGCGGTACTCGTAGAGCTTGTAGCAGCCCGGCCGCTGCTTCGCCCAGGGCCCGTCCTCGAGCTTGAGCGTCACGCGGCCCTTGCGCTGGTCGCCCGTCATGTTCAGGAGCGCCTCGCCGCCCTTCTTGCCGGAGGGCTTCGCGAAGCGGTTGTGGGTGAAGGGCCGGCACACGCCGTCGAGGTCCGCCTCGAGCGACGTGGACCCGATGATGGGGATCTTGAAGCCGAACTTGATGTGTCTGTTCGCGTCGTGCGTGACGACGACGGGCTGCTTCCGCCGCGCCATGAGCACGACCTGGCGCATGGTCCAGGGCGTGCAGCCGATCTTGAGGAAGTGCTCGTGGTCCTTCTTGTCCGGCGGGATCCACGTGTAGGCGCCCGTGAAGTCGTCCGGGTCGTCGCCCGCGCCCCGCTCCGCGGCGCGGCGCCGCTCGCGCTCGAGCACGGCCGCGTCGTGCATGTTCGCGACGAAGAAGTCCATCTCCGTGCTCTGCAGGAACGTCGGCAGCACGTCCGCGCCCTGCCTGCCCACGACCGCCTCGAGGTCCTCCAGGAGCGCGCGCTCGTCCATGCCCTTTTGCTCGCAGAACTTCGCCAGCGCCTTCTCGTAGATGTCGACGTAGTCGTCGTAGACGCGGCTCCACTCCAGGG